CTTTGAAAGTTTCCGTAGATCAGAATCAAACGTAAAATTATGTTTCTACCAATTTTCGTGCTTCCAAGATACTTATGTTTAAAAATATCTCCACTGTTATCTGTCCGGGTAATTGTACGCCACCCTGTAGATTCTGGAGCACTGCACAAAATTTTAGCTCATATTTTCAGAACAAAAACTATGACCTTTTCAAAAAGGATTTCCGAAAATCCGCGACTACTAAACTTTCAGTTTTCGCCAAAAAAGAAAAGGATCGTGCTAAAATAGGTTGAGTGGATGAGTGAAGAGAGAGGACGAGAGTCGGTTGGTTATATTCAAAAGCAAAATGAGACGGATCGTAGTGGGGAATGGAATGGATTGGATTGAGTATAGTAGTTGGGATGAGTAAGAGAAAAAAAACACAAGGTCAGCTGCATTTCGAAGTAAGAAGAAACAGAAGAGGAAGAAGAAGAAGTTGGAGAAGGGTAAGTAGCGAGGAAGAAGAGGGAAGGAGGCCTACTTATTCATGTCGAGGACGATGATCTCTCGAAAGTACACAAGAAGACACTTTGGGTTGAACCGTTTCCTTCATCATTTCGGAAATTAGTTGTGTACCATACCACAGAATTTTAGATTTCCAGAAATTTCAGAATTTTGGAATCTTTGGCTCTTGAATTCTTTCTGGAACCTCAAAGTCTGGTAGTAAAAATATTTCACGAAGAAACAGTAAGAGATAAAAAATTCCGATGGCAGAACCAAAAAGAAAGAAAAAGAAGAAGCTGGTTGTGACTACTCAGTTAGACACTGCCACTACAAAAACTCAGCGGGTGTTGGATTGCGAGAAATGGAAATTCAGATTATTAGTTTAAAATGAAACAGCCAGACAGGAGAGGAAGAGAATTGTCAAGTTTTCAATTAAACAAGAGACTAACTAAGACTATGTGAAAAACATACAGTAATTGACTGGAAGGAGAGGAATCGAATGTCCTCTGAATTTGATATTTTGCTAAAAAACAGCAAACGTTATTGGAACACTGTGGAAGTCAGACTCAGGTTCCTAACAAACCACAATTTTCAGATCAACCAATCCATTTTAAAGATCAGAGTACACTATCACTGATGGTTCCTTGCCATCTCTGAAACTTAGATCCCATTCTTCCGAGCAATCACAATGTCCCTTATGTGTAGATCTTATCTAATTTGTCATTCTAATGTCATTCTATACACTGTCGGCATGTTTCACAAACCGCTAATTGTCGAATCTCTTTCTGAACACCGCAACTTGGCTCCGGGAAATCTGTTCCAAAAGAGAGCCGCCTGATGACTTTTACAGACCTTATAGTCGGTATGTGTAACTCTCATTAAGTTGTTTGGAGAACTAAAATACTGTATTTTTCGATCAATGACATATTCTAACTTGGTACATCCCAGAAGATGCACTTTGACACACATTGAATTCAGAAAGATTGAATAGGTGAAGGCAGGTATAGGAATGGATCAATGATTATGTACAGTCATTTTCAGGTTTCAATTACAATCCAAATGCTGTCAATAGGATGCCTTCTGGCAAACTGAACTCCATAAGGATGTTTCCAATACATTCAACTAAAACCTTCTAGCATAGATTTGAACCAGGGACTATATCATAGTGGCTACTATATTATAAAAATCGAATCAAAAAGTGAACTGCAATAATCGAAAGATCTGGAATTGAAACCACTTGATGAAAACAATGATTCAATTATTATTCCTGCTCATCAGCAACAGTATAATTCGAAAAAATCACCATCATACGGAAAATCATAAAAGTCGAGAATACCGTGAAAACTCTAACAGAGTTGCCCGCTACACATTTTTCTGACACTAATGCAAACTGATTTTGATCTATAAAAATTATATACAGTGCGTTCAATATCTTAAGGACCCCCCCCCCCCCTCTATTTTCACGGTTCTGAGAAAACGGTAAGAGATATCAAAAATCGCTATTCGTTTTAAGCGCCATTCGTTTTTAAATTCAAAAATACCCCGGGAGCCAAATTTTGGTATTCATACCTCTTCTGGTATTAGTACACGGCCCAAAACTTACTTTTTCAGCCGTTCAATATCTTTAGGACCACCTGAGATTTTTGACGGAATTTCACTTTTTGTGTCAGAATTCCAATCCAAAAGTAAGTCAATGCCCAAAATTTTCATATGTGATCTTGGTTTTCGTATTAGCAAGATGTTTCTGAACTTATCCGAGAATTTTTAAATTTTTCTGCTGCTCGTGACCTAATTTTCACTGCTGAACAGAACTAGTGCGCGTCTTGTCGATGGCTCTGTTTGGTCTCTGGGATATCATAGATGGTCCTGCAGTTTATCACGGTTTTTTCAGACATCTTTTTATCCACCGAGACTTTGTAAATTCGCAGTTTAGCTTATCCGCAGCCGAACCTCCATACACCTCCAGACAACGGTGCGACTTATAACAGAAACTCAACACTGGGATGAATGGCACCAGGAAGAATCAAGAAATAGCCATGGCAGGCATGGATTTTGATCTGAATTCTATTGATACAGCTTTGGATCTCAATGCCTGTCGCGTTTACCACAGCGTCAGGCTGTTCTAGGGATCCCAAAATTCCCTCCAAAAAGGAAGAAGAACATTAACTGAAGCCGAACCGAATGATCTAGTTTCCAGCATACCAAATGAGTTGACCAAAGTGATTCTAAATACTATCCATGAGAAATCCAATTGATTTCTTTTGTTTACCTGATTTTTGGTAGTTGATTCCAGCTTTTGAATGATGATTTAGGTCAATTTCGTTCATCGAGTTGAAAATTAGGTCACGAGCAGCAGAAAAATTTAAAAATTCTCGGATAAGTTCAGAAACATCTTGCTAATACGAAAACCAAGATCACATATGAAAATTTTGGGCATTGACTTACTTTTGGATTGGAATTCTGACACAAAAAGTGAAATTCCGTCAAAAATCTCAGGTGGTCCTAAAGATATTGAACGGCTGAAAAAGTAAGTTTTGGGCCGTGTACTAATACCAGAAGAGGTATGAATACCAAAATTTGGCTCCCGGGGTATTTTTGAATTTAAAAACGAATGGCGCTTACAGATTTTTATATCTCTTACCGTTTTCTCAGAACCGTGAAAATAGAGGGGGGGGGGGGGGGGGGGTCCTAAAGATATTGAACGCACTGTATTAGGATGGGGAGAAAGTTTTTTTCCGAAATTTTTCAAATTTTTCCTACGGAAAGTCCCCGAGCTTCTAGAACATTCCTAGTGTAGATTAGTGTAGAACGTCTTGGAAGCTTCTCCCTCATGATTATATAAGACGCTTGTGTCCACTGGTAAAACAATCATGAGCGATCTCTCGAGACCTCATATTCGGCTTCTTATCTTCTACAAGTGATCTCACGGCACCTGAGCGACGTAGACCGCTAAGAAAATATGTCATTTGTTCGGAGAGAGGCCCGACACCGATTGCACCGTCCGCAATCGGCTCGCTTCTTTTGAGTCAGGAGACACGAGCCTCGAAGACAATCCTCACACTATCCAAAACCTGCTGAGTTTGACGAGCTGCTGTTAGAAGCCGTGTGGCAGAATCCCGATGGGACTAATCACAAACTGTAGACAATGTTCCACTGCGACTACCACATTATCAACAATCATCTCCATAAGCGTGGTGTCCGATGAGTGATGGCTCAAAGGGTTCCCCATGATCTTTCCATTTTAAAAACGGACTTAAATGAGTCGATCCTTCTTACTTCGCAGAATAAAGAGTTTCTGGCCGACTTGTTCACCGGAGATGAGAGCTGGATACTCTGCAGTAGTAACGCCCATCATGCAATTTGGATTCCTCGCGGCGGCGACCCGCCAAGTGCAACCGAAACCAGGATTTCATGAGAAGATGTGTTTGTTTCGTGCTTCTGAGATTAGAATGGATTGCTGTTTTTCGAGTTTATCCAGCAAGGAACATCGATCACAGCTTCCACCTAGAGGTATCGGCTGGATTCCTTTGCCATTGCCCTCCGAGAGAAACGCCCGAGACGCTCCACCGTTCACCTTCAACATGATATTGCTCGTCCGCATGTGACTAAAGACACCCAGGCAAAACGGCGGAAGCTGGGCGGGGCTATGGTTTTTTATTTTTAATACTCGCCAGACACTGCGCTTTCGAATTACTACCTGTTCTGCCCGCTCAAGCAATCCCTCAGAGAGAAACAGTTCAAAACATTGAACCACCTCAAAATGGCAGTAGGCCTCTTTTCACTCTCACACGCCCCAATTCTGGAAGACTGGAATCGAGTGACTTCCCAATAGGTGGCTCACAGATGTAGTCGATATTGTTGAATATATTGTTAGTGGATCGTGTAAGAAAATGAGATAATTAGAAAACGAAATTTTGAAAAATTTCGGAAAAAAACTTTCTCCCCTCCCTAATAAACAAATTTCGAATTTTGATTCAGACCTGACAGAACCAAAAATGTCTAGACAGATCAAATTATAAATATTGGCTCATTTCTTAGTGACTTTGAAAAATCATCAATTTTAGAGGAATGCTGCTAACTATGCTCTGTAACTGTTACAGAGTTTTTTCGATTTTTTTTTCTGCAGCCCTGAATTTTCTGCAACAACAAAAAAGGTTTTTCGAAGGATTGCTTGATTTGTTCCAATCGCCATTTCATATTTATAGGCATCATCAAAAGCCCTACCGTTAACATAATCCACCCTCATTGATCGCACAAATTACCTTCCTCTATGTTGTCGCACATCCGGACTCTGCTCCTGGGAATACTGTAAACTCCGCCCAAATCAGGTGGGGTCCCTCTCTTGCCCCGCCCACGGTATCGGAATTCGCACATTCATGACTTCCCTAATTCATTCATCATCTCAGTTTGAGTTGACTACCTCTTCCTCTTTCTCCTTTTTTCTGATTTTTCCTGTTTTCCTTGATAATCGATATCTTTACAATCGTCCTCTTGCCATTATTTCTTCGAAGATCTTTTATTTCAGATCTTCTCCAACTATGTCTTCTTCTCTCACCTCCACCATCTCGGCGAGTCTGACTCCAGAGTATGACGCACTCTGGCATAAGCTCCATCCACTTCAACATGAAATGATTATAACTGGCGTTGGTCGCCGTGTCTATCCGCTTCTGGAGTATCAGTTCAGTGGCATGAATCCAGAAAAAATGTACACAACTTCGGTTCACTTTGAATACGTCGACGACAAAAAGCTGAGATTCTGTAAGGGAAAGTACGTCGAGTCGGTATCCCAAGAAAAGAAGGAAGCCCCACGGAAGGTACAACACAAGTCAGGAGCAAAGTTGGGATCCAAATGGATGGCCGCACCTGTTAATTTCGAAGAGTCCGAATCACAAATAGAAAGACGAGAGAAGACGAGGATGGCTCAAATGTAAGTTTCTTTTGTGAAAGTATAAATTGTATATTGGGTTTTGAGGTCCATCTCCATGCTCAGCACAGATACTTGCCAGTGTTGACTATCAGCGAAGAGGGAGGATCGAGCTACGAGATCAGACTTTCACACACCGTTTTTATCACAGCCACTTTGTACCACGTAAGTTTTAAAATATACAGGTCAACGAAAAATAATTTATTAAATTTTCAGATTGATGAAGTTTGCAAGATCAAGACCGAATCAAACGAATATGCCAAATCGAATAGAGAGGATCGCCGTCGTTCCAGAGCTGTCGAGTCGTCGGTCACTAGCCCTCCAGCCAAGAAAAGCAGAAAAGAAGCTTCATCTCAAGACACATCCGTCCAAGTTGTGCCTGATGTTCCAAATTCGATTCCAAGCTTATCAGCTATTGATCCTGCTCTCATGAGTACTCTTCCATTCCCATCTGCCGGCCTCTCCACTCAAGTTCCAACTTCATCGGCCATGCCAACAATCCAAGACGTTCCACCAGCCAATCCATTGAATGCCTTTTCCGCGATCCCATGGTTGAATCCACTAAACAATCCATATCTGTTGGCTGCTATGGGACTTCAATTCCCAACCATCCCATTCCCGTATTTGCCTTCAAAGTCGTTTGCACAGCTCACTCCAACTTCTTCCACCTCTCCAGACTCTCAGCCCACACAACCGGAAAATCCAGTAAAGACTGCATTTATCGATAAGGTCATCAAAGATGAAGTTAATGTCTGAATCCAAAATTCTCCATATTTCCTTTTCGTGCTCTAATGATGCAATTCTGTGATCCCAAAACTCTCTCCATCCCATCTCTCTATCTTTCATTCAACCTGTCTTTCTATCCACACCGATCTCTCTCTCTCTCTTTTTTAATCTCACACCAAATTGAAAAATACATCACTCCTTCTATCCATCGACATGATTATACCGTTCTTTCTGTTTTCGCTTCATTGATAAATCAATCATAAACTTTAAAATCTTTGTTTTTAACGCTATAATGTATACCAGCAAGCTGGTGCGCCTTCGGCGCGATCCAATCTAGTTTTTTACTGGTTCGTAGTCTCGCTCTTCACTTTTTCTAAAAGGGTCACATAAATCCAAGGCTGTGCCACGGCCGGCTTTTACTACGGCCGAGCCGGCCGCGGCCGGCCCAGGCTAGCCGTGCGGCTTTTCATGGCTTTTTAAGATATTGTTTCATGAGAAACGTAGATTTTTTTGAAAAGTGGGACACAAAAAAAACGAAATTCTTCAAAAACTAATAGATTTTCACTTCACGCGTTTTTATAAGACTAGAAGCGGCCGGCCTCGGCTAGCCGCGGCTTTTCACGGCTTTCACATTAAAGCCGGGGCCGGCCGCGGCCTCAAAAAACGAGCCGCGGCTGGCCGCCATTTTGCACAGCCTTGCATAAATCTATATTTATTTTTCAAGCTTTTCAAAAGTCCACAGAGTGACACGAGGACCAACAGACGCCTCTAGCGTTTTATATATAAGGAAGATTGAAAAACTGAAAAACCATATTTTTGTATAAAATTTGGCCACAATGGTACTGTAGATGGAAACCCTAATAAGTTTCACGCTCTTCTGACTTTGAGATTTTGAGTTACACCATCTCAATCTGCTGCTGGTAATTAACAGCCACCTACATACCGTAAAACCTACATACCGTACATACCGTAAAACCTGTATTAGAAGGGCCCCTGAAATTGAAGGGCCCCTCTAATTGAAGTGCACCCCTAGAAACCTCACGAATGAGCCAATAGAACGAATCAGCCGAATTCGGCGAGGAATAACTATTTTTATAATGTTTGGAATACTGTACTGTGTTGTGGAAGTTTTGATCTCAGTTACATTGAAACCAGAAGCGACGGTAAGTTATTTTTTTTTCGCATTTTCAAAGTTGAAGTGGAAGAGAAACCTATTTTTTTCTAGTTGAAAAAATATTCGAGATATCCAACAATTTACCTTTTTACTGTGAAAATCCGAGGCTGAAATACAATTTTTAATGAAAAATAGTTATTATTACGGTGCGATGAATCGTAGTTGTGGAAGAGAAACGGCGAGGCCGTGGCCGAAGCTCCCAAAACGACAACTACCATAACCAAAAATGTTTTCACTTCCTAGGGTTTTTTCTCCATTTTCGTGGGTTTTTGGCGAACTTTGTTTCTATCAAAAATTTTTATCGTAATATAAATGAAAAGTACAATTACAATTTTCCGTTTGGGAAAAAAATGGACTAAAAAGTATACCATATACCGTAAAACCTCTAATAGAACGACACCCGGATCGTCCACTTTGAGCCTATATATCTCATTTTCTGCAAAAGATATCAAAAAGTAGCTAACTAGTAAAATGTTGCTGATATCCTGATAAACATTTTACTAGTTAACCACTTTTTGATACCTTTCAAAAGAAGTGAGATATATAGGCTCAAAGTGGACGTTCCGGGTGTCGTTCTATTAGAGGTTTTACGGTATACCATTTTCGTCTACCCCCGGTGCCTCTTATCCTTCCAGACTCCAAATTCTCAATTTTTTCTCTTTGTGTCATAGACGCCTTAAATCTCAGTTAATGCTTCTGTACAAAATAATTAACCTTACTTCTTACATTCCCCACCCTGAATCTCATTTCCGCTTATCTAACTCTGCCCGTCGCCCCATGACTTTAATTTGCCTCAATCCCCATATCAATGATTTTTTTGCATCCACCATCCCATTTTGGAATGCCATAACTGCAAATTACCCCACTTCCTCACCCCGTCCCAATTTGAAAATCTCCTTGATTCTTCTATTTCTCGCTACTAGCTATTATCCTTATTTTTAAAACATGTATTGTACTGTATATAATTCCTCTCTTTTCCATTATTTTTCTCTTTTTAACTTATTAGGCGCTCCTCGTGAGGGGGGCTGCCTTTTTCTTATGTACTGTTGGTCACCGCTCTGAAAATAAATAAATCTTAATCTAAGTACCAAAAACGAGAAAAAACTGGAAATAAAAATATTTTCAGCTTACGGTAGTTGTCGTTGTGGCACCAGAACAATAAAATTAGAAGATTACTCTGAAATCATAGAAATATCAGAACAAAAATAGAATCTTTGTTTTTGAAATCTCCATAATTCCGGCTTTTTTGACGATTTCAACCTTTAATTAGTTAGAAAAAACTCATACGCATTATTGGAAAAACACATTTGCTGATTCTCGTACTATGACAGAAACTAGAGTACAACATGAGGTTTTTTCAGAGTCGCCATATCATCAGCTTCATGTTCAGATTGATTCTTTTCTGTTTGGTTTCTTATTTTGGCATTGAAGCATTTATCACAACGGCTGTTCGATACAACTGGTTAACTATTTTAGCAGGAATACTTGTCACTGTTACTGTATATATTTTGCTGAAAATTGGAAATATAGTAAGTCAATTTACTCTTTTTTTAAATTCACTTTTCATTCAACTTTTCAGGGATACGATCGTTGCTACATACTTTGGAGTATCTGCATTTATTGGGGACTTTTGGAGCTTTGGATCCTTTGGAAAACAAATGACGGTTTAGTACATGGACCTCATATAGAGCAACATTTTCGAAGCATGCAGAGAACCGGAGAACCAATTAATCCAAGACTGGAGGGATTTAGGGTTGTCGCTTTATTATTTTTAATTTCTTTTCGTATCCTCCCTGTCTCAATTTATTATCACATGTCAAATGAATAAATACATATGTTGACTCTTGAACTATCTAAAAAAATTCACATGAAGCTGAATCAGGTTTTTTCTTTTCTTTACTTCACTTTCAAATTACGGTACGCGGTGAAGAATTCACGAATAGCGCACAACTGGTGATTGTTGACGCGTTCCTCGTGCATCGTTAAAAAAGCAAAATTCAAAAAGTTAAAAAGAAATTGATTTGTTCGTGAACCGACATAGTGATGGATTTGAGAGTTTAGGCATCGTTTTCCCTCAATTCTTCACTTTATAGGTCATTCCACGCCAATCCAAGCCAAAAAGTCCACGCCAAAAAGCTCAACCAAATTTGACGTTTCGTATCGCGAAAAGTGATGTAATGTAGTTCAATGCTTACTATTAGTGACCACTCTAGGTAAAGCTATCGTGCCCACTTTGTAAACGAAATACTAGGTTGTTCCGAAAGTCTTTTACATTTTTGGAATTTTTTCATCAAAACTTTATTCAACGTTCGAAATATTCCGGCAAGTAATGTATTTTTTATTATGGTCCATCACATCCTGCCAACGTTCTAGCTGTTTGATGCCTCTCGCGTAGAACTCGGATGGTTGCTGCACGAAGAAGGCACCCATATACGATTTTTGGTTCGATCTTCTTTTGAACCGTTTACCCTGATAACCATTCTGAATCAAGCGTAATAAATACAATTCTGTTAGGGCAAGGTCAGGACTATATAATGGATGACCGAGTACTTTAATGCCTAAAGCCTGCGATTTTTGGCGACTGGCCAAAGCCGCATGTGGACGCGCATTATTGTGAAGCGCAACAAATGTTCCCGTTTCTGGGCGCAGAGCAGAAAACGAATTGAACTCTTTTTGTAGTTAGAGACAGTATATGTCTGTTGTTACGATCGCACACTGGGAAGAAGTTTTCCATTGATCACACCATCGAAATGACACCAAATGGTCAACATCTCCCTTTTTTCACGAATTTTTCCTTTATGGTCTATTTCTGAGGTTTGGCAAACCTTGACCCACCGACTTTTTATGTTTTCTTCAACCCACAGACACCTTTTATCGTTTCCAAACACATGATAATGGATCCCATTGAAGGTTCGCTTACGAGTGAGCAAAGTCCGACTCAATGCACAACCAGTTTTAATGTGGGGATCCCTGAAATGGAACCAGTTGATCATGTCAAGCTCTGTGTCAAGAATTTCAAAGAGGATGAAACGCAGTTGTAGTAGGTTGGCCAAGAGTAGAAGAAACTTTATGAACAGTGAATCTCGGCTCAGCTTCCAGCGCTTTCTAGATATCGGCGTCGATGTTTGGAAATATGTGATCAAATTGAAGTTTCTCTTTGAGCGAATATTCGCCATTCCGAAAGCGATTGAACCAAGGTCGCACTACAAGATACTCAAGTGACTTTTCACCAATTACGAAGCATATAGATCGATGGGCAGTGACAGCGGATTCTCTTGAGAAACTCGAAAGGAAGGCAACCTCAAACATCATGGGTTTCGTTGGCGAGGCTCTCGGCCATGGACTGAGATTTTTTAGAATAAACTGACAATTTTTATCAAACATGAGTTCAACATTATTAAAATAAAAAAAGAAAACGAAAATCGATCGCTATGAATGGATAAAGTGCGCGCTTAAAAAATGTAAAAGACTTTCGGAACAACCTAATACAAACTGCGGTAATAATTTTGATCTACCATGAAAAAGTTTGGTGTGGTCGGGAGCAAAATTTCTAGATTTTTTAAATCTAATTATCTAGAAATTCAAAATATGTAGTTAAAATGAGTTAAAAACATTCAATTAGTGGTTTTAGAATCCTATACAGTGCGGTCAATACCTACATAGACAGTACCGGTCAAAAAGATATACAATTCGTGTTTTCCAACTTGAAAATCAAAAAAAAAATTTAGCGAAAAAATTCACTTTTTGGAAAAGTTCGGATTTTTGGGTGCTTTTTTCGAAAATCTTCGCCAAAATGAAAGTATGTTTTATAGGATTCAACGACACTGTCGTTTTGACAACTACAAGAAAAATACCGTAATCCCTCAACCGACTCTACCAGAATGACTATAAGAGCATCATGCTGATTTTAGAGAGTCTCACAATTTATAAAACCAGTGTTTGGAGCTTGAAGAAACATTTTTTAAGTGGAAAATAATTAGATATGGTAGAATGACATCTTAAAAATAATAAAAACAGAAAAAGTACAAAATATTGATCACTTGAAATTGTGGAACGATAGTTGGAAAAAGGTCAGAAGCCGGAAATCTCTAGTTGACACTTTGAACAACCATAATATGGATATTATTTCATGCAGGAACTGAGATAAACAAGCTCAAAGTTGACGGTTAGGGTAGCCTTTTAATAAGTAATTATTTTTTGAGATATTTATGAAGTAAGCAGTTATATATTTTAGATTTCGTTGGTATGTTTCTAATCCAAATACGGATCCTATCATCAGCCATTCATATGTCGTTCGAGAATCCGATAATTGAGTGGCATCTGTTTCGATTCAAGAGAACACTCTCTTTTTTGGAGTATGGGATAAGACGGAGGAGGAGTTTCTGAGAATGGTGAATTGATTGCTAATTGACTTTTATTCCAAGAAATTTTCTTATTTCTACAGTTTTTTGTTATTTACTTGTCATCTTCATTGCTTCTTTTTTTGAATTTTTATTTTCTATCTCTACCAGCTCTATGACTCTCCGTAAATATTATGAATGCTTGTAACGCAAGATATATTAACACAAGTAAATTGGCATTGTCGAAAAACTGCTAAATGAGAGCTGAAGAAGCGCAAACTGGCGCGTTACTTGGCAGCCCAAGGAGAACCGAAGAGCTGTTGGCGGACTGTCGACGGACGGACCATCGGAACTCTCGGAAAACCAACTTGAAAGTTACTAGATTAATATCCAGTCAGGAAGAAAATTGTTATACTCCTTCTATGTTATTGTACGAGAAGGAAATTCTTTAAAATGCGACGTCTTCAACTGGGAAATTCCCTTTTTGAGAAATGGGTTAAAATTGAGTGACGTGGTAGATGAATAAGAAAACGATACCAGGAAGAAAATAGCTGAAATTTTTTAAAAGTAAGTTGTACAGTAGCATTTTGGCTGTACTTTTGTCTGTTTGTGCCTGAAAAAATGTTCAAAATGAAAACTACAGAACGGATGTAACTTCTGGTCAGAAGGTTAAGGGTCATTGAGACAGATATAGGTCAGGTTCTAGTCGGAACTTGTAATTATTGCCACTGTATCTGGAGTTCTACATTTACATTTACTAATTAAATCCACTGTAACCATAAAACCACTAAAATTTACAGCATACCCTTAAAAGATACGGGCCTCACTAGTCTCGTTATTTACAGATCATATGGTTGATGCTCATGATTTATATGGATCCTTCATTTATGCACAGATTCCTCGGTTCAAAATTTTTCGAACATTTTCGGAACATTTCTTTTGACATAATATGTCAGCAGTTACCTTCCTCCCAGACTACCTATATTACTTTAACTCTACATTGTCATAATTTCAGGATCTCCTTCACCTCTATCACTCAAATTACTGTAGCATTGTGTATTACTGTCACTTCCGGTATCTACGACCACCTGGCAATAACCCTATCCCAGATATTCTTTCCCAGAGGGTAGACAATATTGTTTTTGACTAAACCACGCCTCCTTCGACCCGCCCCTCCTATTCCACACAACCTCAATCCTCATTTCAGTCTCTTCTGACTTTTGTATTCGTCTCGATGTCGTCTTCTCTTCTGTTCTTCATCTACCTATTCTCCATGGCTACAGCCGATCAATTCTGGGTGACTACTGTGCTTTCTGAATTCAAAGTTCGTGATCAGTGTGCGGAGTTCTGGAGTCAATCCTCTGCGTGTTCCACTCCGTTGGTACGCATCTCCACAAACATCAATCAGCCGACTCAATTCGCTTCTCGTACATGGAAAATTAATGACACTCGCAACTCGGTAAGTTATTTTAAAAAGGTTTTTATTGAAACTTATCCGGAAAACTATTTTTCTGAGAACCAAAATTACGCCATGTTCCTAATGCGAAATATCTCTATTTCTCAGACCGAAATCCCATCATTCATCAGTCAATGGCATGGTTCAGCTGATTCGATTCGAGTTTCCATGCAAATCGAAGGCAGTAATCCACTGAATCCATTCGGTCTTGTTGCAAAATGTGACGAAGGATTTCATCCGAAAGTTCTCTTCATTCACACCTCTGATAATGTCATGGAACGCCTTTCTACCAGAGTCGTCAGCATTAATTCTCAGTGCTTCACCGTCAAAGTTCTCTTGAAAGTAGATACAGTATGCCCATACTGTCCAACAACAACCACACCTCTTCCGGTAAGCGTTTTCATATATTATTTAACTAAAAAATCCTTCGTTTTTATTTTCAGACTACTTTCGCCGCAGATTCCTTCATGTATACTCATCGATTGTCAATCATGGTTATTCTTCTTCTGATTACCTTCACAACCGTCTCTGTCATTATCTTCATGTGTACATTGAATCGTTTCATCCAACGAAGACGTGGATTCAAGACTTGTCCATCTCTGGAATCTGGAATTTCAACAATCTCTCCAATGACCGATTCAACCATCATTTCCATTGAGAATAAGAAGACGGAATTCTTTGATTTCTTCGCTTTGATGCCACCTGCCATCGATTACGAAGAGTTCGATTTGGATGTCTCAATCGATAGCAGAACACTTCCACGTCTCGGATCCCTTGTCTACGAATACTACCCAAGTAATCTCGATGTCAGTGTTTCGGACCCAGTCTTTGTTTAATTTTCTTCATTCAATCATTTTCATTCTAACTCTTTCTATCTATTTTTCTGATCAATATTATTTCCTGTGTCAATTCTGTATGTTGTGATCTCTGTGATTCTTTGATTCTCCTGTATTTTTCTCTCCCTGTCAATTGTTATTCTATCATTTTTTCAATATTTGAACCATTAGATAAAATTGTAAAAAAATCAGAATTCAAGAAAGAAATTAGCTTTTATTATAAAAAGGCAAAATGAGGCACTTCTAGGACAGTTCTAGACACATATCTCAAAAAAAGACAGAAATTTCCAGTTAAAAAACAGGAATAAAGCATTGATATAATGTACCACAGGATTTTGATGATGACAAAATTCAATTATGTGAATAATCGATGCAAATAAAAAGTGAGATCTAGAAGAGTTTTTGTGTTCGTATTGGGTTTGAGGAAATGGAAAATAAAGAAACCGGTGGAATGGGAAAAGAGATTTGAGGGAATAAAAACTAGCTTATTGTCTAGCTGACTCGACTTTTGGCTGCATTGCTTCGTCGACTTTCAGCGTCAAACCCGACAGATTCATCTCGATGCACTTGATTTCTGGGCGGTCCACTCTGGAAATATAACGGTTTTTTTCTGAAAATTAGCAGAATTCGCTATTTTATTGGTTGTTTTTCTTTGAAAATCATTTTCCTTAAGCTCCCTCACTCCTCTCTCCCTCCCTCGCTCTCCCACTAGACTCCGCCCACTTCACACACAAAACATAGCGGGCAGCGGAACCCGCGAAGTGTCGGCTGCTGCTTTTCTATAAGTTTCGGCGGCGCGCGCTCTCTGTCTACCTTACTCGAATAACCCGTCGATGAAGACTACTAAATGACGAATCCTAATAGCCCAATGGGTTTCATTGCGGATATGAGGCATTTGTCTGAGCGGGTATAAAACGGAAATTTTGGAACTTACTTGCTATTGTTGTTAGATGTTGCTGGAGGAGAATTTGGAGGTGGAACATAGGTTGGATCTTTCACAGAAGAGCTTTTCCTTCTATCCCGAATACTGGATTGAGCACTCAACTTGTTCCTAAATCGAAAATTAGTCTTCTAGAATAGTGTCAAAAGAATAATTTCGAGTTTTAGTTACCTGAAGGGATTGCCAAATCTTTTCCGATGACCCATTGCTTTCACTAGAATTAGAGTATCCAGTCGTGGTATCACTCGTACACAATTTTCGATTTCTTCCTCCGTTACAGTAACCAGGTGGCAATTCTCTTGTTCCGAAGACATTGGTATCGTACCACCACGTGTCACCCATGTGTGAACCTTCACCTCGTGGAGCATCAATCGATGCCCCGGATCTTTCTTAAGCATTCCGAGGATCAGGTCTTGAAGTGCTTCACTGAGAACAGGTGCTTCTGGGAAAATGATGGGATCGTTTTTGATCTTTTTGTGCAAAGCGATAATGTAATTATCCACAAACGGAACCTAAAATTTTGATAATTTAGAAGATCTCGAATGGAAAAAAATCTTACAGTTCCAATAACAAAAGCGTATAAAGTGATTCCTAGTGACCAGATGTCTTGTGCACGACCCGAATAAAAATGATTAGCTCCTTCCGTCAATGCTTCTGGAGCCATGAATGCTGGAGTTCCGGCTGTTCCAGATAAGAAGGCATCGATTCCTTCAAACTCACAGGACACTCCAAAATCAGCAATCTAGAAAATTGTAAAAATTACAACTTTTAATTCCAGAAAGTTCTTTTACCTTAACTTGACCTATATCACTGAGCAGTAGATTCGATGGTTTGATATCCCGGTGAACAATTTTTTGATAGTGTACTAAAAATATATTGTTCAGATTCTACAGTAATCTATTAATAGACTCACAGTACTCCAAACCACATAACGTATCTCGGAAATAGCTCCACGCTGTATCTTCGTCCAATGGTTTGTCTGTCGGGATTTCCAGAATGGATCCTTTTTCTACAAACTCAAAGACCATGTACAAATAATTGTCGTTTGGGTCGTCCAGAACCTAAAAACATTGTTTTAGAAATTTTGGAGCAGCTGAGAATATATTCTTTACCTCCACAAGTTTGACCACATTTGGATGTGATAACTTTTTCAGGATGGCAATTTCTTTTTGGACCAATTGCAGAGGATTTTTCAGAACCGATGGTGCTGCATTTTCTTTGTTTCGTCGTGGAGGTGGTTGTCGAAAACAAGCGAAATTCTTCAAAAGCTTCATTTTGTCCAAAACTTTCAACGCGTAGAGATTTTTGTCCTCTTCGTTGTAGGCGAGTTTGACGATGCCATATGAGCCCTGGAAGAGTTTAAATTTAGATGGGGACTAGTTTGGAAAAAATAGGCCAGGAAATGTAAAAGTTTGTTTTTGTCCTTGAAATACGGTACTGTGCAAACAAAACTTTAATGATAATTTCAAGAAGCTTACAATTAGTGTTTCAAAATTTCCCACTAGAAAAATGGATCATTTTCCCCAAAAATTGGAAAACTCAAGTTTTTGATAGTGATTTTTTTGATAATTGACTGCGCAAGTCGAAAAAAAACCATTTTTTCTTCGATTTTTGACAAAATTTTTAGACCTTTTTAGATTTTTCAGCTATTTTCAAAGACTCTTTTTCGATTTTTTCGGTTTTTTGTCTGAAATTTGATTGAACGGTTTTCGATTACTGTAGATTACTGTAGAAACGAATTTCCTTTTTTAGTTTTTTATCTGCATTTTGACGTGGTTGTGGTTGCAAAACAACATGACATGCAAGGGTTTCTACAGTAATCTACAGTAATCTTCCGTCCAGAATACCACGCCGGCAAATTTCAGAAAAAAACTCGGAAAAATCGAAAAAGAATATTCAAAAATAGCAGAAAAACCTAATTATGTCTAAAAATTTTTGCGAAAAATCGTAGAAAAAATAAAAATTTTCTCGATATATTTTTTCGATTTTCGTACAGTTTCGGTCAATTTTTTTAAAAATAATATATCCATAACTTCAAATTTCCTGTTTTTTTGGGGAAAATAACGGAAAACTCTACGAAAAGTAGTGAAAATCAAAAAAAAGAAAGTGTTTTTAGATTACGGTTGTCAGTGATGGGGCCTTCGGACCAAAGCTCCGATTTTTTTGTACCATAAAATTGAAAAATTTCTAAAAAATTCAGAATAGTAAAACTATCATTTTAGAGCTCCAAGTTTAGAAATCCTGCACTGAAAAATATAAAAAACCCTCTAGTTAAAACCCACTTTTCTGTTGAATAAATAAAATAGAAACTTCCAGAACTTTCAAGAAAAAAACTAACCTGTCCGATTTCCTCCATTAGCCTGTATTGATTGAGTTGTATATAACTCTCGGATCGCTGCTGTGACACCGACTGAAATGAAAAATGCATTTTATTAGTGAGAAGAATCATTTTCGAAAGAGAGTGAATCTCCGTTCCAACTTTCTGGCTTCTTCTTCTTCTTCTTTTCAAGAGAACACATTTTGAAAAACAAATTGTCACTTCTACTATAAGCTATAGAAGAAGCTGAAAGGGGACCCAAATGGAATAAACCGCAAAAGAAGAAGAAAAAAAGGCTTTTGGAGAGTTTTTTTGGAGAGAAAATGGGATGTGAGGTGGAAAAAGGGAAGAGAAAACGACTTCCGTTCTTTCTGAACATATGTTGCTCTTAGCGAGGGATAAGTGAATCTATTGGGGGGGGGGGGGGGGGGGGGGAGATTAGTGCATTGCTTCCGCTTCTTTTTGCTCTTTTTTGCTCATAGACTGGTAGGGATTCGAGAAGATTCTGTTTAGAGATGAATCATTTGTCTGATGTGAGTATGAGCCACAACGTTTCATTGATGTTCGCTTGAAGCGCCAGAGGCGCGCAAAAAAGCTGGTGGGGGTACAATGAAAGCACAACTGGGGCGTGGTGGATTTTGGGGAATTTGAAAATTTGCGAATTTTTAAATTTTCGATTTTTTTGGGGATTTTTTTGGGTTTTGGTTTCTTTTTGGTGGAAACTGAAATTTCCAAATGTCATCGAATTTCGTCGAGTTTAAGCTCATTATAAAGAGAAAATCAGAAAATTTATGTTCAGCTAAAAACAAGGCTGTCGGAAACTGGGCCGCGTCCGGCCGTGATTGAGGCCGTCGGTATGTTAACGTGGACCAATCAGTCCGTTCTTTCGGAAATAAGCTCGGTCAACCAAAAACTATTAGGGCCGCAAGGCCACCGAATCCTATTTATTTCAGAAGTACTTGAAATGAAAAGGCGGCCCTAATTCGACAGCCATGGCTAAAAATTAAAATTTTCAAATTTTCAAAAAAAAGTTTCCGAAATACACGGAAAAACGGGTTACTAAGCTATCCATCATTATTCATATGACGAACTGAAAATCCCGAAAAAAACGGGCTTGCCCAAAAATTTGAAATTCTGAAAAATAAATGTGTCACACGTCACTCATATGGTTTTTTGAGTGTTTGGATTTACTGGAGAAGCGAATGTGGAAATAAACAAACGGCTTCTGTTTACAGATGACAAAATAAAATGATTTTGATTTGGGAAAGAAAATCAAAGGGATGAAGAAGAAGATCTCTTCTAGAAAAAATAATAATGAAAGAGGATCAGTTGTTCAAAGGGATTCAAATCGGTATTATGGGTTACTAGAAAGTGTTTCGGATTAGAAAAAATAAGTGAAAAACGATTCGGGCCCATGGGTTCAAAAAGCTCGGTCAGAAATCGTGCCCCATATAACTTTCAGAATTTCAGAATCTCAAAATTTCAAAATTGCAGAATTTCAAAATTGCAGAATTTCTGAATTTCTGAATTTCTGAATTTCTGAATTTCTGAATTTCTGAATTTCTGAATTTCTAAATTTCTGAATTTCAGAATTTCAGAATTTCTGAATTTCTGAATTTCTGAATTTCTGAATTTCTGAATTTCTGAATTTCTGAATTTCTGAATTTCTGAATTTCTGAATTTCTGAATTTCTGAATTTCTGAATTTCTGAATTTCTGAATTTCTGAATTTCTGAATTTCTGAATTTCTGAATTTCTGAATTTCTGAATTTCTGAATTTCTGAATTTCTGAATTTCTGAATTTCTGAATTTCTGAATTTCTGAATTTCTGAATTTCTGAATTTCTGAATTTCTGAATTTCTGAATTTCTGAATTTCTGAATTTCTGAATTTCAGAATTTCAGAATTTCCGAATTTTAAAATTTCAGAATTTCAAAGTTTCAGGATTTCAGGATTTCGCTATCTGCTAATATCAGAATTTTCTCGGTAATCGTTGTACGTTTGTTTTTACTCAGCCAACCAATAGCAAGACCTTTTGTTTGCTGGGGCGCTATTTCAGACCAAGCTTTTTGAAACCATGTTTTCTGGGTTTTTTAATGAAAATACCAGAAAAGTTAAAAATTCAAAATTGAATTTTATTTAATTCATAGGGTCCAAGAGATCAATAATTCTGGTCCAAAGAACTCAAAATTCTTAAATCCTTGATCCAGATCCAATATTGTCCTAGATTCAATTTTCTTCTTCCAAAAACCAATTTGTCCTTTTTTTCTCGAAAAACCTAATCTTACAAATCTCATATTTTTCCAATCTCCAACAACGTCATAGTTCGTGAGAAAAACACTAATTTAGTACTCTCCGAGTTTCCAATCGACTTGAATTCTTTGCTCCGTGCTATTTTCAAGAAAAAAACTAGAAAAAACACAAACTGTGTCTGATAAGTGATAAGACCTGTAATTAAGAATACTGAAAATAGAGAAATTGGTGTTTGAGAGAAAAACAATGTTAAGAATTAAAAAACAAATGAAACGCGGAAGTTTTGATGAAATGTGTGATCATTTGGAAGTCTAACGGATCAGCTATCAACTACAGTAATTCCAAAATTTGTTGTTTGCATAGATTACGGTATATGACTAGTCCCCGAAAATGGAATCGCCGGAATCGTCAGAATTTCAGAATGAATCATAGTTCCTTAAAATATCCCAGGATGTCCCAGGAGACCTTTCAAGATCCTAGAATTTTAAAACTAAAATTTTAGAATCTCAGATTCTCAGAATCTCAGAATTTTAGAATTTTAGAATTTCAGAATCTCAAAATCTCAGAATCTCAGAATCTCATAATTTAAGAATCTCAGAATCTCAAAATCTCAAAATCTCACAATATCAGAATTTCTGAATTTCTGAATCTCAGTTTCTCGGTATCTCAGAATCTCAGAATCTCAGAACCTCAGAATCTCAGATTCTCAGAATTTCAGAATCTCAGAATTTCAGAATCCCAGAATCTCAGAACCACATAATCTCAGAATCTCAGACTCTCAGAATCTCAGAATTTCGGAATTTCTGTTTTTCAAGATCCCCAGGATTTCAAGATCTCCAGAATTTCAGGTAATCAATTTTCAGAATTCTGAGAATATTTTGAAACATCGGATTCTTAGAATCTAAAAATTTCAGATTTCAGAACTTTATCGAGTGCTACAAAATAGTTGGGTCCAGAAAATCTGCTACAGTAACCCATTCTTGCGAAAAACATCTGGGTTACTGTAGCTTCTAAAAAAATTAGAAAACCCTTTTTTGAATGTTTCGCTCAAATCCAAAATTAAAAATTAAAAATTTAGAAACCAAAAAATGCCTTACCTTGACATATCTGGTCGGTCTTGACAAATTCGGTGACATGGTGGCGGCGAGCTGAAAAAAAGCAAAAATATAAAAATGAATTCAGCGAAGTGGTTTTTTTATTGTTCAGGAATACGAAGGACCCCGTATATTCCCGAATGCGTTTTTTGATATATAAAAATATATATGGGACGCCCTTTTTCTTCTTCTTCTCCGAGTCGACGTTTCGATTTATGCAACCTCGTAAAAAAGAAAAAAAGGAGAAGAAGAAGAAGAAGGCGTCAACGCCTTCTAGCCTTTTTTCTCATTATTCTAGACCCACTTCAAGACCCATTACAGTAAGATTTAACGATTCTGGAGGCGTCGAGTGATGACGTTGGATAGATTCAGATGAATTGGACGAAGAAGTAGGGATGAAAAGATCAGAAGAGGATCAGAAGGTAGAGAGGAAATGTTGCAAAACTTTGTGATCTTGGTTCCTGGACATTGTTACACTGGGAGAGAGAGATAGAAATAGAAATGAGGGAGAGCAGTTTGGGATAAGATGATGATGATGGAAGAAGGAGAAGAAGAGGAAAATTGAAATGACACCATTGAGATGTTGGAAAGAAGAAGAAGAAGAAGAGCACTTGGCTTTTATTGCAGATAAAGAAGAAGGTTCTTCTTCTTCTTTTTTCTCCTCGATTTTTCTGATTGAACCTATTCAGAATTGAGGTGAGAAAAGGATGGAAATGGAACATGTTGATCAAGAAAAGAATGATGTTAGAATTGTTTAAAAGTGGAACTTTGGAAGCATTTTTAGGCTTAAAATAGGTTGGGTTCATCTAGACAGGTCGGTTTTTTTAAATTGTTGCTACGGTGAGTCAAAAGCGCACACGAAAGTTCCCTTGTCTCTCGAGCTGAATAGTTGTGTCTTTTTTTCATTTTCAAAATCTACTTTAAAATTGGAAAATCGGAATTTTCTGAAATACCGAAGATTTGAAACTTGGAATTACTAGCAATTCAGAAGTTTTGAAATTTAGAAAATCGGAATTTTCTGAAATCCCTAAATTTAGAAAATCGGAATTTTTGAAATTTCGATTTTTTGAAACTCGAAATTTTCGACATTCCGAAAAATCCAAAAATGGTGTTTTGACTTTCTCAATTTTGTTTTTTTTCTCTCAAATTCCAAAAAACGGTTTATCCTTTCCAATTAGAAACACGGAAATTTCTAAAAAAATTTTTGAAAATTCAAAAATGCTGTGTTCTCTGTCAGAGAATATCCTAGAAAGAAGAAGATAAATGAAAAAAGTGATTTCCTATTTTTCAAAAAGCAAGCAAAATGTATTAGGCAAAAGTTCAAGTACCCGAGACCTCTCTCTTTAATCTGATTTTCGTCTTTTTTTTTCAAAAATCGAGTGTCTGCATTTGTGCTCTACGGCACTACAGACGAATCCAGGTATTAAGCTACAGTAATCAAGCAAAATGAATGCTGAAGAAATCAAAAAAAAAGAAAGAAAAATTCAGACTGGGCGGTTTCAAAAAAGTATAGAAGTCGCCCCTGAAATTCTCCAAAAAAAGAGGAGACGTTCGTATGTTTTTTGTTTCGTCCGAGTGGTTCATGTTCATCATTGAGAAAGAGAGCAGCTCCAAAGTGAGAAAGGGGTGTCTGGGGTGTATTCCTCCACACAAAAAAAATAAGAAGAAGAAATAAGGAAAGTGTCGAGGCACTCCCCTATGCCAGTTCATTCGAAATCATACTCCCCCGGGAACAATTCACCGCCATTATGAGGCATCGAACTTAAAGTGTCCAGCTATTTGAAGACCGACAATATGAGAAAAAAGGGGAGTTTTTGGAGACGAAAAAGGAGAACAAGAGAAGGATAAACTAAATTCTTGATGCTGAAAGTATTGCAAACACAACAAAATGACTGGGCACTGAAAAGGTGATGCTGGCGAGAGAGTGGCAAATGGGTGAGTTGTTTTGGGTTACGGTAGTTCAAAAAATTATCGACAAGGTGTCTACGCGAGTGGCGCTTCGATCCCCAAATTTGGAGAAAAGCATCCCAAATCACTGGAAAGTTAGTTATTGAGCTCCTCAGTCTCGTATTGAATCATGTCCAGAGCATCCTAATGAAAACAATCGAGATCCTCGATAGTTGTTCTCCTTTTTTTCAAATTTTTTCCAAATTCAAATTAATCGATTTATAAAAAAAAAGAACTGTGGTGTCTTCGATTTTCATCATTCACCGGAATATTTTCGAAACATTTTTCGGTATTCAAATTCTGATCGGAATATTTCCGACTATTTTTTCGAAGTTAAAGCATTTTTGACTACGGTATGTCAAATGCGCTCTCAAAAAGTTTCCTTGCGAGTCTCGAGTGAAATTACTGTAAACATTTTTTCCGCGTTTTCGAAATCTGTTTGTCAATTTTTCACTAATTTTTAGTGTTTTTGTAATTGGAAATTTCGGGATTTTCAAAAATCAAAATCTTCGAAAATCAAAAATTATAATTTAGAACATCGAATTATTTCAAAATTCCAAATTTTCAAAATCGGAATATTCCGAAATTCCGAAATTTTTAAAATTTCCAAATCGGGAATTTTGGACATTCAAAAATTCCAAAAAAAAACATTCCGAATATCCCTAGCAATTTTTGTAGATTATTAAAATCTTTAAATTTACTATCTGAGGCTCATTGGATAGGTTGATTCGTGGGATTTGAAGTTTCTATAAATTTAGAATTCCCCAAATATTAAATTCGATAATTTTAAAATATATTGAAATTTATTGATTTCATCGGTTCCTCAAGATTTCGAACTTTCAATTTCCGATGTTTCAACTTTATTCTCTTTTTCGAAAAAAATTTTAAGACTCCTCCGGGAAGTTGCTTTTGATGGTTTTATGAAGTCTGGTTATTAGAAATTCAAGTGCCAAGAATCAAAAAACATTCGGAGAAAAAAACGTTCCAATAAAGACAACTTTCGGATATTATAAAATACCAAACGGTTTTCAAAAAATACGAAAAAAGTGAAATCATCAGAGAACTGGGAAACCATCACATTGGGGGATAAGAACATGGATAATAACAGAAACCCCCCGATTTTCAGAAAAAAGAAACAACTGGAAGTTTCTAAACAAAAGCAAGACAGTGAATCTGAAAAGATGGAGTCTATTTCCAAAATTAGAACATACTCAGAATCACTCAATGATAACAAAAAGTCTAGGAATTTCTCTCAATTCTCCTGATAAAAGAAATTTCTAGTTTCATAAAAACAATATCTCCTTTTTCCCACATGATAACGGGAATCATGTGGAGGCGGTTATGACCTAATTATCTCTATTTTTGAGGATCTCTTCTATTTTCTCCAGGGATATTCATAATTTGTTTTTATGATGAAAACTAAAAACAGTGAGAATCATCTAAACATGACGTAAGTAGGAACCAATTAACACAATTTTGGGGGGAAGAGGAAGGAAGGAAGTCGAATATGCTTTCAATCAGGTAAGAAGGTATTGAGATGTTCAAACTTTACAGTAATCCAGAAACGCATATACTGTAAACATAGAAGGTTACCCTATACTTACACTTTGAGCTCAGTTATCTCAATTTCTATAAAAGATAACAAAAATCTGTCAATTGACAAAGTTTTTATCAAAGTATTGCCTACATTTTATCAATTGTCTGATGTTTTACATCTCTCATAGGAACCGAGATAATTGAGCTCAAAGTTGATGGTTTGGGCGGGCTTCTATCATAGGAAATGCAGTAATTCAACTTCACAGTACTCCAGAAACTGTTCTTTAAATACCCAAGTTAATTTTTTTCAGAAATGCATGCGTATTTGATTACTGTAGATTACTATGCCCAAAATTTTGTTAATAATTATTGTCTATTTATTTTTAACAGTATTTTGCTTTTTTTCTCTTTCTGGAAAATCAATTAACATTTGAAATTATAGGCAAAAATTGCCGTAAATCTGTATCAGATCTGCCTCACCTTTTTTGATAATTACGAAATTTTTGGGCTAAAGCAAATGTTTTCCATACTGTGTGATTTTAAAAATTTTCAAACGACATTCAAATAATTAAAAAAGAAGTTGTCATCTACAAAATCCGCCTTTCCAAAAATTTGAACAATTTAAACTTCTATTTCAGAACTGGATCTCTCGGTTTTGAGCACAAATTCTCTTCAATTTTTTCCTAACCACATTCCCCACTCAAAATTCTAAATCCCCTTTAAACTCACATTATTACTAGAATGTGGTCCAGCTTCATCATCCTCCTGTACAGCTCTCGCCCTGACAAGCCTCCTGACTCCAGTGGTATCTGATTGCTGCCGAACCATTGAAGCAGCCGATAGAAGTGACCTCCTATCCACCGTTCCAGTCGTCGTCATCACATTTGTTTGAGAAGAAGGTCCGGGCGAATCGTCGGATGTATCGCCGACCATCCTGAAAGAAAGCAAATGTTAAGAAATGAAGATGTTGGAGAAGAGAATGGTGGGCGATGTGGAGGGATTTTCGGAGGATTTTCTGGGAAAGGAGATACAGCTCTCTTCACGATGCAGATCCTGTCAAAATATCACAAAATAAGAAGATTTTGGAGAAAGGATCCACCTCGCTTTTTTTCTGGATTTTAAAGACATTTCAAGAGTTTTAACAGTTTTTTAAAAGATCCATGGATTATAAAGTATCATTTTTCTATTTTCAGAGTTTTTTGGAGTTAGAGTATGCATACTAACGTGATGGTGTACAGTGTTCAGTGTTCGAGGTCCCAGAAATTCCGTAAAAAAAGCCAAGGAAAAATGGGTGGAGTCCGGGGGCGGAGCCTAAGTTGCAAGCTGTGCACGGTTTCGCCGTACGCTTTTTCTCATCACCGAATTCAAATGAGTAAAAAACTATGCTGCAAACCCGTGCACACTGAACAGCTTGCAATTAAGATTCCACCACCTGACTCCGCCCACTTTTCAAAGGTTTCTTTGGAATTTGTGGGGTCTCCATAATTTTTATGTTTCGAAACCAAATCACGAAAACTTCAAACTTCAGAACGAAAACTTCAAACTTCGAAGCAGAAACTAAGAATTCAAAAATGTCAGTTTCAGCGAAAAATTCTCAAAAATTGATCAATAACTTCAAATTCTACAAACTGTTTGTCGTGCGAAAAATCTAGACAAATAACATTTATGTCCTTGACAGATATTATTATAACTAGAGATACATATCCTTTTCAAAAACTACAAAAAATGCAAAAAATGCATTTTCAAACATCGCCCCAAAGAAGGATCTGGAAAAAAATGAGAAAAAAAAGAAGGAAAAAACCGGAGAAAAAAAGGAGAAACTGGTGAATGAATGAATTAAATAGTGAATGAAACTGGCTGGAGAGCCCCTTTCCCCCCCGAATGGACCAAAAAGAGAAAAAAAAGAGGCAACAGAAACTATAAATTATTCAAAAGTCTTTCCCCATTTTTCCCCGAGTGAGAGCTTCGATGGAAAAAAAAACTGAACTGAAAAAAAACATTTTCCTTGGGTTTAGGTTTGAAAAAAAATTAAGAAAAATTTATAGAGCAAAACCAGCAAAAAGAGTTCTCTCTGACGAAAATCCGATAGATGGAATGGCGGGGATGAAGAGAAAAGAAAAGAAGACGGAAATTCGATTTCAGTTAGTCAGTCAAGTGGAAGATATGTGTATGGAATGGGCGAATGTGTGTTGGAATGTATGTGGTCTTTTGGGATTCTTTGAAAAATATAATCTTAGAAAATGTTGATTTTAAAGGTGTTGGGGTGTTCTGAAACCTGAGTGGTTTAAAAACTTGGTTTGGAATTAGAATTCTGAAAAAGGACCGTTGACATGATTTCCAGTCGCTCGTATTAATTTGGTCTAATTTCGATCCCCATTGCGGTCGAAAATCCGAGAGTGGGCGGAGCTTAGGCCCGGTAACTAAATCTTTAAAGGGTCATGTATTTTCGAAACTTTTTTAGCCTAGTTTTTTTTTCAAATTTTCGATAGATTTTGAATTTTTTTCACAGAAATCAGAAATTCGCGAAAAAAACGCATGAAAAAGGTAACTTTTTTCGAAAATCATTACGAAAATGCATGATCCTTTAAATGCGCCTTTAAGGATTTCGCTACCGGACCTAAGCTCCGCCTACTTTTGACCGCAACATTGAAATTAGACCAGAGTAATGGATATATTTTTTCTAATATGTCACAGTTTTCAATAATTACTGCTAAACTAAAAAAGACCAAATATCATAGAAAAGAAAATTTTCATAAATTCTTCAGTACTATTTTATTTATAGAAACCAAACCTAGCTAGACTCACTAGGCTTGACTTTCTCACGATACCTCAACTATGTGTCACTCTTTCTGGAAATTTCTATAAAATAGATTCTTTTGAAGTTTTCTTAGAATCTTTAGAATCCGTAGATGATTTGTTTTTTTCTAGATCGCAGAACAGGTGAATTTTTGTGAGTGATATTTTGTGGCATTTTCATTAAAAAGGTTTAGCATTTTAGTTTTTTTTTCAGATGGTTTATTTTTTCGGAGTTTCTGCTTGAGAAAGGTTGGCTGAAAATTAAAGATACAGCAAAGTTACAGTACTACAACGTTAAAAAGTAGAACTACTATCATCTAGTATTGATTTCAGTCTAGAAAAAAATTCTCAAAGAATGAGCACCATGAATCCGTCTGTTACATTAACACACATGTAGGTCTATCCGGTTTATTGCACACAAAATACATGGATTCGCAAGAGAAACGGAGAGAAATGAAAGAAAAAAAAACGACATCTCGTGAGAGAGAGAGAAAAAGAAAAAGCAATATAAAAAAGTCAGGTGTCCAGATATCTAACCAACGTTTTAGATCAATCTGAAAGAAGAAAGTGGAAAAGAGAGAAAATTTGGGGCAAGAATTGATTAAATATAAGCATGTAACCCCAAAAAGATTCGATTAGAAATTGGCTTGGTTTTATGTTGATTAGTTTTTTCGGAGCTATGCTTTACTCTTTCCTAGGACACAAAAATACTTATGAAACCATGTTTGGGCTTTAAAGGTGGGGGGACAGGAGATTTTTCGTAGTTTTTTTGTAGCTAGAGTATGCATTCTACCGTCACGGTGTACAACGCTTAATGTCACTTTGCGTACAGCTGTCGTCCTCGCCTTTATGTATGCAATCGGGCGGCCGCTTTCTCTTTGCCCGTGTAGCTCAGTCGGTAGCGGCGCCGCACCCTCAATCATTGCCCCAACAAGTTCAACTCCTCGAGGGGCATATTTAAACGAAATATCGAGAACATTATTTTTTTCATGTCTCCCCACCTTTAAAAAAAAGAAAAAAGGACTTGACCACTGCCAAGGTTGAACTTGCGATCTGCAAATCCAAAACAGAGGCGTTACCGCTTGCGCCATAACACACAGGTCCTGGGCGATGATGCGCATAAAGGACCCGATCCATATGCGATCCTCTAGAAGTCCGTTTGACACATATCGCGAACAACGAGCTGCGATGAGTCTCATATGTGTGCGATGCGGAAGAGGCTGAATCGAGTGTTCCGAATGCGCGCGTATCCTAGATGGATTCTAGGTGGGTGGGCGATGTGTGCGATATGGGTCTGATACGGTAGGCCGACTACAACACTCCGAAATCCCGGATGCGCGCATTGTTTACCGTAAATCCACACCGGCAACTTTGCCAATTTTTCGTCAATTCGAGCCTACATACTGGTTTTCGATTATTCTTTCGATGTTTTTTGTGAAAAAGAGTTATGGCAGACTAACAAATCGCTGAATTCTTGCAGAAACATGTCTTTCACTCGTCAATTGCTATGTTTTTCGCCAAAATAGGTGATATTGAGATTTTTAGGTTTCACTTTGTAATTATTGTAAAAATCGTATTTTCAGGTGGAGTAAAAGGTAAGTTGGTAAGTATACAATAATTACAAAGTTTGAATTATAAAAATTTTCGATTTTTCATGCAATTTCAAAAAAAGTGAAAGTGAGACATATTTTTTGAACAAATGAAAAAAAAATTTTAGCGAATTTTTTCCCATTTCCTTCTGGTTTTGATTGCATATCAAATTTAAATGGAAACTGCCATAAGTCTTTTTCAAAACCAAAACATTGAGTTTCAAAAAATCAGTAATATGTCGTTCAAAATATAAAAGAATATGGAATAATAAAGGAAAAGTACGAAATCGGAAGAACTGAACAAAATCACATCACAATAGAACTTAACTGATACTTCTAGGAACCCCCAACCAACGTTTTAGTTCATTTCATCGAGTGCCAGCAAGACAGGCGAGGAGATGCTTTGCGGCGGCGGTGTGCCCCATATGCCCCGTATATGCCCCATACCGGCGTCCTTTCCCTGTACCCAATTCATCGGCGCGTCCTCCGTCGCCCATCCATTATGCGTATGCGCGCCCAGGACCTGTGCAGTCACACTTAAACTGGCTTCAATTTGTCAACTATGAAAGCGGGCAAAAACAAAAGTGTGTGGGTTTCTCAGGATGACATCTCCTTCTTCTAGGGGGTTAATTGAAGTTTGGCGTTAGAAGAATAATGAGAAAAATGAATGACGAGAATAAAGGAGGATGACGTCGATCTGACGACAAACGAAATGGAGAGCGAACAACCTTATTATGTTAATTGGGGGTCCATGATATAGGGAAAATAGATTTTTTTTTTTGGATTTCTGATGCAAGAAGAAAAGAGCAGTGAATTGGAAAATAGTTGTATGGTTAGGGCAGTTTCAGATGACTTCCATTTTTGCAAAAATACAAAGATTCGGATGATTGGGATTCTAGGGAAGTGATGTGTTTAGAACAAAAATTAATGAATAGAGGATTTAGAAATTCAGAAACTTAGAAAATCAAACATCTAGGAATTCGGAAATTCAGGAATTCAAAAATTCAAAAACTCAGAAAATAGAAAGTTCGGAATTTCTAAGTGCAGAAATTTGAGAATGCAGGAATCCGAAAGTTCCGGAAATTTAGAAAATCAAAATTTAGAAAATTTAGAAATTCAGAAATTAAAAATTTGCATTTTTAAAAAACTCAGAAAATCGAAAATTTGGAAATTCGATGTGCAGAAATTCAGAAATGCAGAAATTTCGCAATTCAGAAATTCAGAAGTTCATAATCCCGAATTTCAGTATTCCGCGCTTCAGGCATTCCAAACAGATGGCTGGTGGGCCTTCGACGCAATATGACCTACTTTTTACTCTTCGTTCTCAATTTTTTCCTTTTTTCAAAGGGCCACGTAAATCTATATTTAATTTTCGCGTATTTTAAACTTTTCATTCACGTTACGCGAAAAATCTATAAATCAAAAAAAATTAGGTCACATCCCTATCTCTGTCCACGTTGAAAAATTCCACGTACTGAAAAAAAACCAGTCCTTTGGGAAATCCCGCTCTTTGAATTAGTTTGATAATATTCACTAGCACTTTTTGACT